ATAATTTCGAATAATTTATCTTTGGGGATATCAACAATATCTTAAACAGAATTAATAATCTATTATAATCTAAATTTATAACATGATTAGGAATAATATCTTTGAAATGTTCATGTAAAATTTTGGAATCAGTAATGTCTCTCATAACTTAAAAATCTTCAGATGGATCTTCAAGGGTGATTTATAAACATTTTTCATCTTCTAATCCTAATTTATAAACAGTTTTAAGCATTCTACTTCCATGTCCTTTTCTTTAATATTAAGGTAGGAATAACATTTGACTTAAACGATGTCTTTGTTTATCCCAACCAATATTAAATTTATAGACAGTAGTCAATCCTATAAATTGTCTTTTTTCATATAATATTAAATAAACCCATTCATTTTCATCACCTGGATATTAAACTCCATCAATTAAGACTAAAAGAAATGCTTATAAAAATGGTTTAAATTGAATAAAGCCATTAGTTATTGCAGTTTAACATTTATATATTTTGAAATCTCCATATTCTTCAATTAAATCTCCTAATGGTTCTTAATTGTATTCTTCTTCAAGTGCCTTAATAAATTGATCTTCGTTTGTTAGATATCCAGCTTCATAAACTTTATTAAAACTTTCCTTTAAGTCATCTGCATCTTCAGTTTATTCACTATAAGATATCTATTATTAATATTTTGAAGTGAATTACTTGAATATAAGGTTTTAATCCAAGTGCTGTGACATGAATAGTAATCTTAAGATCTTTATAACCATAAATTTCATTCGACTATCTAAATACTTAATGAACATAACTAGGCTAGAACTTCAAACCTTAGCCTGTTTTATATTATTCTATAGTTTCCACTAATATATATGTAATAGCTAAAGAGCCATTAGTAATAAATGGATCATCTTCTCTTTAGACTTCTGGAGGTTTCTCTAGATATTTAAGGGCATTCAATCTTAAGTATTGTCCTTACTCTTCATCAAATAGGTTTGCCATACAATATATTAAATATTCTTTATTTTGGCGCCAATCAAGATAAGAATAAATGATTATACTTAGAAATAGATTTATTTGAAATAAATAGTTGTAATTCTAAAAATATTATTTATTATAATGAAAATATTCAAATACTTTTATATTTTATAATTGTAAATGATACTTTTATGGTTGAATTAAGGGTATATAAATAAATATGATTGAATTGAATTTAGTTAATTAATATAAAACTATATTAATTATATATATTATTAAAATAAAATAAATGGAAAAATTAGGTAATCTATTTGAATTCTTTGTAACTGCAGGAATTAAGACTAATGATTAAGGTAATTAGATTTTAATAAACATATTTGTAGATGTAATACTTTAATCTTGTACTACTGCAAATAAGAAAGATCTTGCTATACTTACTATATTTCCTAATCCAGTTGAACGAAAAATGAATCATGTATTAGCAGATATTGCTATGGTAAAATATTTGAAGATTATTATTATTTAGTGGTGTTTTCCTTTAGGAGTAAAGACAATTAAAGAAGGTGACAGTAGATTTAATAAAATAGAAGAATATTTTAAAGAAGATGATATATAAACAGCTACAAACGAGATTAATTATTTTTTATTAATGATTTTAAATAGCACATCAAATTTTATTGTACATCAGCTTGCTTCTATGAAAAGATGTTCTTAATTATGCCACCAAATGATAAATTAATGTAAGTATTTGTGCCTAAGTTTTTTTGTGTAATATCTTGTTATCCTGCTTTCATTCTTTAAAGAAGTTTTGTGATGCAATTATTAAAAATCTAGAAACTTCGTTTATCATAAAATAGAGAAAGAGATAAAATAATTACTATAAAAAGAGGATAATAAGAATATTAAATTGAAGAAATCAAACTCTATGATTTTTATATTAGAACAGCACTTACTTAATGTCCTATTCAATAATTAGCAAAGCGTAGAGTATAGGTTAAAGTTCAGCAGTTCTGAGATATGGATGAATTACTATGTCTCCAATTCACATCTTATAACACACTTTTCTATTTTTAAATTATCTAATAACCTATTCGATGTTTTAATTTTTAATCAACCTATTTTTAATTTGTATAAATTACTATTATACATGATGCTTGAATATTAAATCATTATTGTATCTCGTAAAACAGCTGGCATTACTTTATTTTGTTAATCATTAGTTGAATTACTTGCTCCTTTATAATGGAGAGGTCTCTTTATTCCATTTCTTAGACCTGGATCCTTTGATTTTCATAAATCTTAATTACCTTACATTATAGGATTAGATAGAAATCTCTATGAAATTGTAAATCTAATTATTTATTTATTTATTTAGTCTGAAAAACCACTGCCTAAAGAATTAAAAAGAGTTATTTATGATATTGATGATGGACGTATTCTTTCCAGATCAGATGATCCCAGATGTCCTAAATAATATTAAAATTATTTTATTCGTAAAATGAATACTGTATTTGCAGATCTTAAATTCTATGAAAATGTAAATATTTATATAATCTATAAGGAAATCTTTGAAGAAGTAATCATGAAATATCGATAAGCATTTTATAATTTTAAATTACTTATGTTAAATGATATTTATAAGTATTTTAGTACTGATACATCAAATAAGAAATCAGAAAAAAAAATAGTTATGTTTGATTATAAGAAATTTCTAAATTCCTTTGAATGTTAAGATTAACTATTTTTTTTACAATTTCTTAAAACTTTATCATTTTAATAATTTGTAAAAGATCTTTATAAAGTTATGGAATATAGAGAAGAATTTATAAAAAATAACTATTAAAATGTAGAATATTATTTCCGTACTGTTTTATAATTCTTTGATGATGTGAGATTTTTAAGTATCCGATTTGGAGAATAAACTTTAGATGATAAATTAGTAATATTGGGAAATTTATAAAACAATTTTATTAAAGCAGTATTAGATAGAAAAAATGAATCCAGTAATTATAAAGTTATAGAAATGAAAACTACTGACTTTATTCCTGAATATTTAGATCATCTTAAAAATAGTAGTCTTAATCTTAGTATGGAAATGTAAGCATTAGCTAAATTCATTTAAGCAGCTCCATTATAAGAAGAAGTTGTTGTTGAATAATAATAAAAAGTAATTTAATAAGAAGGACCAGATATGCATCAATCAGAAGAATAAGATAATAGATCATAAGAATCCTCTAAGATATAATCAGATAAATCAGATCAACACAGTTAATTTCATCATTCATTACCTCCCTAAGAAAAAATTAATTGGGAATTATAAACTATTGCAGTAAGTAATGCTTTAGAATATAGAAAATAATATTAAGTTAAGCATCTAAATCTTATAAATAAAAGGAATACTTTTAGAAAAAAATTCTATTAGAAAATGAAGAAGAAGAACAACAAATGCAATTAAATTAAAACACTAATACTAATAACTTCATTGTTACTAATATCGCAGATAAAAATATGTTAAGTCTACCTGTTAAAGATAATTAATCTATGGCAGCTAGATAATATTTTAATAAAAGTATGGTTCCATTAATTGGTGATTATGGAAACGCAGAAATTGTGATTCCTAATTAAGACAATATGATTTGAATTTAATTTATATTTCATAAATTTTTATACCAGTATAATTATTCAATTTATTTTCCCTAATCTACAAATTTATGTAAATACATTAAACTAATCAATCATAATTAAAATAAGCATTCATATACATCCTAACCAGTTAGTTCTTCTACATACTCAATTCCTCCATTTTAATCTATCTATTCCTATATTCCATATACTAAAACACTAATTGATCCTTACATTGTCAAATTTTAACATTCTCTAAGCTTCTAAGGAAATACTTCATCTAAATATCGAATCACATCTTAAATTTCTGTAAATGCATAATTTTTATTCACTATTTTATCCCAAATAAATTATCCTTCCTCTTAAATACTTGTAAATTTTATTTCACTATATAATCTATTTATTGTTTAGGTCTTTTAATCTAAAATATCCTCATCTAATTATTTATTTAAATAAATATTTGCTTGCTTTATAAATTGATCAATTTATTCCTTTCCTTTTATAGGATTTACTCCTTACATATAAATCTATAAACCATCTGCACATCCTAATGCTTTTCTCTTAATCTAAATTTATTATTCCATTGAAAAATAATTATTCGAATATTATGATAAGAAATCAGCATAAAAATATAATTTAGCAGTATTTTCCAAATTTCTCAAACCTGTTTAATAATAATTTAAAACTGATGAACTCGTATCAATATTTGATTCTCTTTTCACTTTATATTATAAATTTTGACCTTTTAAATTTAAAGTTTTTGATATATAAGTCTCTTATGAATCTTCAAATACACTATCATTTGGTAAAATATTCCTCAAATTTAAAATTTATATTTTACTAGTCAATAATTTAGCTTAGAATATTTAAAATTTTTAATAGTCAATTTTAACTAATTCATCTAATATTTCTTAAGGAGAACTAACAGGACGTAACATAATTTTAGGCAAATAATATTATTAAGTTAATAATGATAATTTTTGATCATGAAATCTTTTAATATCCTAACTTAACAAATCCTTTACATAAATAAATAATTATTCATCATCAGTATCCATTAAATCAAAAACCTTATCCTAAAATTCTGATTATTTTTCAGAATTACTTAACATTTATATATTAAGTCCATTTATAGTTTCTTTAAAACTTAATTCATAACCAAATAAAATTTGTTATTAAAATTACTTCTTTGACAATTCTGTATAAAATTTTTATTATAACTTTAACATTGTTTTACCTTCTACTAAAGTTGATTCTGGTTTTTCTACAAATAATCCTGTAAATACCATAGCACCTAATCTACTAGGTTTCCACCATACATTACTTGAAATTTAAAATGGTACTAATGATATTTATGCAACTTTTTCTTATTCTATACAATTATTTGTAAAATTAGGAATAGGAAATTAACATTTAAATTCTATAGTCAAAATCAATTTCTTTTGATCCATCATACTTACTTTCTCTTACTACATTACTCACACTATCAACTTAAGTTTTGGTCTATTCATAAGTAATTATAGGTTCTTAACATACTGATACTAAAGCCAAATTTTCAGGTAAAAATGTACTTAATTAAGGCAATTCAAATTAATATTAATTCGTTTAATCAAACTATTTTGTTAATGGTTTTAAATCTTATTAAAATTCTTAATGAAGTTTATTTAATACAGCATCTACAATAAATATTGAATCATCATTTATTGATTTATGATTTGGATCAAATTAAAAGTTATCAACTTCCTATCAAAACAATAAAATTATTCTGTAAATATGTTAAATATTAATCAAATTCATCTTTATCAAAAATACGTAAACTCTCCTCACCTTTTAATCCATAAATAGGATCTTTAAATAAATTTTAACCTATTTCTGTTAGATCTTCTTCATATTTAGTATTAAAAAATAATTCTTCTGTTACTAACATTTAAGAATATAAATATGTTAATTAAATTTCATCAGCTTATTAAAGAAAGTTGAGAAATGAAATAAATTTGTTAATTGTAGGTAGACTATTATTTATATCAATATCTAATTTAATTAATAATTGATTTTATACTATTGAACCTATAAATGGGTTTGGAAACAAATAAGATAAAAATCTTTAACAACTTTATTCGTCACTTATTGATAATAATTATAAACTATCTGTTTCACTTTTGAATTTAAGAATTTATCTGCTTTGAGGAAAGTTATTTTCATAAGTTGGGTCATGATATTTATGTAAATTCTTTAATTTCATTAAATCTGATTATAAGAGTCTTGTTTAAATAATTTCATATTCCTCTTAACTTTTAAATACAAAACTAATAGCACATTAGAATATTCATTAATTATTTTTAAAATTATTAAAGTTTAATCTAAATATCTGTATTGAAAATGAGCAGATTTAGATTCATTCATCATTTTTTCATATAATTCTTTAGCATTTTTAACAATATCAACAAATATTGGTTATGTGAATATAATATAAAGTTCTTACAATTTAACATTTAATTCCTCTAATAAATTTAACTATATTATAAAATTTGTGTAATATTAATTGACTTCTATTTAAAAATTGGTTTATATGCATTAAAACATTAATTCTGTTAATCCAGGCTATTCTTAAGGGTATATTATTCAATTTTAGACAAATAATTATCTAAAACTTCATCTAAAGTTTTTTCATCTTCTTTAGGAATTTACTTTACAACCTTATCTTATCCTAAATTTTAAAGACCTTCACTTATTTTATTAAAAACATCTTAAACAACAGATTCTTTTGGATGAACTAATTATGGACTAACACGTACATTATTTTCTATTGGTTTTTCAGGTATCACAACTAATGAATAGAAAGATCATTCATTACCATTGTAATGTTTCAATAACCCAAATCCAGCTAATCCAACCATAAATATTATAATCAGAATCACTGCAGCATCAAATTTTGATGGACCTGATTAATCTGGTTTTTTTACTAGGTTTATCATATTCTTCCCAATTTGAACTTGATGATGAAAATCTGTGAACTGTAGGGATAAATTATTCTTATGGTTTTTCATTACCTAATAAATTCTAGCCTTCTTCATCATGTTAAGGTATTTAACTCATTAATTAAAATAAAAGAATAAAATATTTATAATTTAATTCATAAAAATAAATACTTTTAATTAGAAATATAACATTTATTATTAGATAGAAAATTAATAAATAAATAGATGTGACTAAATTCTATTTAAAAGAATACTAATTTGGTTAAATAAATTATTTTATATCAATCTTTTTATATATAAATGTTTCATTCAGTTCTTAATTGAATTATTTTAGCAGTTCGATCACAGCTTGTAGTTACAATTTGAGTATCATTAATAGAGAAACTTGTAATGGAACTAGCATGTATCTAATGTTTAGCAAAATTCTTCTAATTTTCTTAAATCATTAACTATCCATTTGTTGTTCCTAATATCAATTTGTTTTTAAATGCACCAATACAGCTAATTTCACTATCGAAAGTAGAAATTAAGATAACTTAATCTGAAAAAAATAGTTTAAGTTAATTTTATGAAGTACAATATATTTTCTTGTTTATAATTTAAATTTTGGAGATTTAATTCTAAAATACTATGACATAATAGATTTATATACTTTTCACACGTTTCTGAAGCTTTAATTTATAAGTAATAAAATTCAAATATCCATCCTTATCTCCAAACCAAATGCCATCATCAGCAGCCATTACACTTGTAATACTGCTGATATGTTCATATTTGGATTTCTATTAGGTTAACATATTCCAAAGACATAAAAATCTTTATTATTATATTGTATTGTGAATAAAAAGACAAGTTTTCAAATAGAAATTGCATACAAAATAAAGACTATCTTGTTAATCTATTTATTCAATCTTTCTATCTTCATTAATTTGTAATAATTGATTTTTGCTTGTAAAGCATAAATATTTATCATCTGAGATCCTTAAAAGACCTTAAAAATAAACATATTTATTACCAACACAGAATGTATTAATTTTAACATCCATTTAGTTTTTTCTCTTAAATATTACATTACCACCCCATTAAGCAATTATAAGTTCATCTTTATTATATATTCCTCCAATAAGTTGCTTTGAATTATTATCAGTTTAAATGATTTCCATTTGTTATTTAAAATATCCATTTAATAAATTAACCTAAACTTTATCACAATATTATTAATCCATATTAATAATTCTCTATTAAATAGTAAGATGCATTCCATTATAATTTCAATTTAGTGCTATGGCTCATGAATCACAATTATATTATTTATTAGATTAATTATAAAATAAATCTACTTAATTTTCCTAATCAAAACTAAATTTGCTAAATTATTCTTTAATTTATTTCTATATTCTCTCTATTTTATTAAATAATATTAATACTTATTATCCTTCCATATCAGATTATAATTGTTCTTATTCTGTCTATAATTAAGCAATCTTTTTTTTCAAATCAGCTTATTAATTTGTTAATTTATCTAAATCAACAGATGATCTTTCAAATATTTATTTAATTTAATTATACTATTTAATAAAATAATTAATTTACTTCCGCAGATCTTTTATCTACATCTTTTTTAAGTTCATTTTTTTCAATATTAAACAATTCTTATCTCTCATTACTTACAGCTTCAATTTCTTCAGAACTTGATTCTAAAGCAAGATTCAAAGTTTTTAATAGTTAAGGAACCTCTTCAATCAAATGAGCATTTTCAGGAGCCAATAATGGCTTCAATGAAACTTATGTCTTAAAATGTGAAAATACATAAGACTAAAGTGTAAGGGTTATCAATCACAACAGTATCTAATTCATTTCTTATATCATTGCACATTAATTTAAACTTATTTAATTCATCATTCTATTTATTATTAGCTAAGAATGCTGGTGATTCACTTAAATCTGGATTTTTTGCTAAGAAATGAGCTAAACCTTAAAATTATTATTAAAATTAGTTAATGACTTAGATGTTTGGTTTATTTCTTTTTTTAAAGTTTATAGTTTATCAACCTAATAATAAAATTTATTATAATACTTCATCATTACGAATAGCTTACATTTAAGGAACAAATTTATTTTCTTCTGTTAAGAATTTTTTTCTTTCTTCATATATTTTTTCTGAAAATTCTTTCTCTTTTGTTACAATAGTAAGTTCTTCACCAACATTTTGTAATTGATATTTTGATAAGAATATCTTTTATTTTAATGCTTACTTTCTTTCAATATCTATTTTATAAATTTTGAATATTTATACTGCTTGTATAGATTGTCTAATACTCTTTCATAGTCTTTTCACTATCCATCACAAGCTCAGATTCAAAATGATTTAAATTAATAATCAAATCAACAGGGTCTTGTAAATTATTTATATAATTACTTTAACTAGATTTCAGAACTAGCTATTATTCTTTTAACACTTTTTTTCCATAATTGCTTTAAGTTAAGAAATCAAAATCTTTCACAGAATCAGTTGCAAATGTGTATATACACAAATATGTTTAACAATACAATTCGTTTCATCCGTTTTTAATTAATATTTCATTAATATAAGCAAATATAATCTGCATTCAATATTTTTGATTCCAACAAATAATTAATATCAACCATTTTTTATTTATAGATTGCAATCTTAATCTTAAGGATAGAATACAAAATTGTTGTGTTTTTAAAATCATCAATATTATCGATTAAATAATATAAAAAGTAAATTAGGAAAATTCATTTTTAGAATACTCCATTTTCCAAATATCCTTCTATCACTTTATTTTTATTTTCTAATTTTCCATATCCATGATACACTCCATTATACCATTCTCCTGTATAAATTCTATTGGGTGCAGTAAACTTTCTAAATCCTTATTTTCTTCCTAAATAATAATTTCCTTTATAAACTTTTCCATTTGGCCATTCAAACTTCCCATACCCATGCATTTTTCCATCCTTGAATTATCATTCGTAAATTTCATTATCTCCAAAATAGTATATACCTTTTCCATTTAATTCATTTTCAAAAAACTCTCTTTTATATCGTGAATCATCTTTGTACCATTGAATTTTCCCTTTTCCATGTTTCAATCCATTTTAAAACTCTCCCTCATAAATGTAATATTTATTATAAATCTCAATTCCATTTCCACAAATAGATTTTCCTTCCATTATTCATATTTCAACTGATTTGATATATATTGTTTGCGAATTAAGATT